GGATTGGTGCAGAGGAGGGGGCTTTGAGAAGTGGCACTCAAAGAACAACCACCTTGGTCAATCTGGAGGGATCTCTTAAATACGAAATGGACAGAAAGTCGATGTCGGCAATGTTCGCCGTCAAATAGTAGGTTAACTTTGAAATGGAAACGAAGTTGTGCAATGGGTTGATCCGTTTTGGACGTTCCCCAGTCACCATGGGATTTAAGACAACCATTTTGCTGCTTGTTGCAACGCAAACACACAACCATGAAAACTTGCACCACAGGACAACTGGACAACTAAGCCAAAGGTTACCATGAAACAACTAAAGCAACGTTACACATATGCCTTGTGTGTACTTGATGCCAAGACTTTGTGGGGGGAAACAAAACAAGCTGGTCCACGAAGCTCCCTTTTTTTCCGAAAAGACTCTTTGGCTTTTCCAAAGGATCGAAAAAAGGGTGGTTTAGGGGCTCTTCGGATCAAGCAGAAGTCCACCTTTTACTTTTTCAGGGGGTCCTCTGATTAGTCGGATCCTGTAAGGTACCCCCAACCCAGGTTTCGCTAAGGTCCCAAAACCAAACACCATCCATCCCTACCACGAACTCTCTCAAAACACGAGCACCTCCCTTTCAATCTTGACTCAGACCACAAAATGCGCCACGGGCAGGTTCCGACCATTGCTCTGGCGGGTCTTCAAGGGGAGCCCACCGCTCCACGGTCCCCCCGCTGCGTGTGGATTCCAATTTGACTCCGCGGGGCATGGAGGACCCCGTGTGGTCTCCCTTCGCGTTGGCCGCCGACGCGCTGAAGGGCCCCGTCGTCTTGCCCGAGGCGTCCTCGCAACCCACACGAAGCCGGCCAGAAGAGAAACAAAAACGATGTAAGATAAGAGAAGACTTGATAATACAACATTAGACAAGATAGGACGAGACAAGACAGAATAAGACAAGATAAGACTCAGACTAGATAAACAAAACATACGAGAAGATCAAAAAAATACGATAAGATAAGATAAGATAAGATGAGATAATGATATATAAGCTAAGCTAGTTGAGATAGATAAGATACATAAGATGGAATAAAAACCTGGTATGATACATTTGGAAAGGATGAGATGGGATGGGATGGGATGGGATGGGATGGGATGGGATGGGATGGGATGGGGTGGGGTGGGATGGGATGGGATGGATACGATGAATAAGACAAGATAGATAAGATGACATATAACATGATAAAATGAGAGAAGATAAAATTAGACACGATGGGACAAATTGAAGTATGATAACACACGGCTAAGAAGCCGTACAGAAAAAATAAGATACGGTAAATTTAGGAAAGACTGGGAGACAGGGGGGCAGAAAGACTGAGAGACAAAGAGACAAATCCGCCGACCCCATGCCTGGTCCAGATGAGCTGGCCAGCACAGATCCTTGAAGCTCGGCCAGGGAGTCAACTCTGTTCTCAAGCCGCGCAGCTTCAAGCGCATCTGCCAAGGATGCCCGGCGCAGCTCCGGAAGGTCAGGCCGCTCACGCCTCGGCGATGCTGGTGGGGCAGCAGGGGACGCGCCATCCTGCACAAGCAGCTCCAGCTGCCATGAGCGAGCGCCGGCTGAAAGCAGCTCAGGCACATGTGCGTCCAAAGAATCAAGCGAGCGAACCCCACAGACAGGACCAACAGGGCCAGGTCAGACAAACAACATGCGCAAACTTGCAAAGCTCAATGCTTGACGCAAAAAGTGATTGATTTCGGCGATTTGTGCATCCACTTGGCCCGATACCCTGCATTGTCATGAAAGGACGTCAGTAGTCCTGGTGCTTTAGATCAACAAAAGAGCGCGCCTCGGGCCACACACAGCTTCGGCATGTGACTCGGGTGCTGCGCATGTCCCTGTGCACATGCTGCGCGTCAAGACATGGAGAGATAGAGAGATAGGAGAGACAGAGAGACAAAGACACAGAGACACAAGACACAAGACACAGAGAGACAAAGAAACACAGAGACAGAGAGAGACAGAGATACAGAGATGGAGAACTAGAGAGATAGAGAGATGGACGGACGGACGGACGGACGGACGGACGGACGGACGGACGGACGGACGGACAGTGGATGGATGGATGCATGGACTGATGGATGGCTGGCTGGATGGACGGATGGATGGCTGGCTGGCCGGCCGGACGGACTGCCAGCCATCGACTCCACCAGTTTCACCAACCAATTCCACAACCACAAGCTGGTGTCATCTGCTTCCAATCGCCCCCCTTTCTCCTCCCTCCCGTTTGCCCAATTGGCTCCTTGCACTTGGCCCTGGCGTAGTCCAGGGTGCCCTTGGACTCCAACAGCGACTTCACCTCTAGCACCTGCCAACCCATCAGGTTAGGTGCCGACTCCAACCAAGAAGGGGTACCGCATGGGTGGCGACCTCATCAAATCCGAGAAAAATGTGACCTGATTGAACCAGAACCTGAGAGACCTGGAAAGGGATCAGTGACAGGTTGACTGAATGACTGCTTCCTGTCGGGAAAAGTCACAGCTAAAAACTAAAAAAATGTCTCTCAGCATCTGCGCTTCGGGGACGCCTCCCAACACGAAATCCACAAGACGCCGTCTATCTCCTGTTTCACCCGTCGCCCCCAAAGCGGGGTTTGCCAAAGTTACCGCTGAGTTTGGGTCACCGAAAAAGGGCTCATCTAGCGAGGGACCCATTTCCAGGTTATCTCGTGGTTCCCTCATACCGTCCACCAAATCATCCCTTGCCACATGTCATTTGGCAGATACAATGGTCGAATCCTCACGCGGGGATGCTAAATCAGGAAGCCTTAATGTCAGGGCCCCATGATCCACAGTGGGGCTGGCATACCTCTCAAACTCTTGAACACCACACCGTACCAAGGAAACCACAGGCCTGAAGCATGTGCTGGGCCTCCCTGCTGACCGGTCCGCACAAGTTCAGATTTACCCTTTGTCAACATGATTTTGGGGGACCTTGGATCCCAATCTAGTTCTGAGTTCACCAACTCAGCAGACCAAATGTTGTTGCGTTCTCTGCTGACTCTTTTGCACAAAAACTTGACACTCGGTGGACCCACCGTCCCCCATCGATTCCTATGGCGGGTGGTTTTGGCACCTGCAAATGACCCTCAAAGCCTAGCCACGCTAGGCGTCGCGTGTGGCTCAGCTCAGAATTCCAACTCTATCCGCTGTGAGGCCGATTGCCAACTCTATTCACTCGCGCCTCATCCAGCGTGAGGGGCTCCGGTTTGCAAAACTTCTTCAGCCTCGGCGTATGCTGGTCTAGCGAGCGCTCCAAACTCCAAAGCGGGTACTTGGATAAGGAAGTGTTCACCTCTGACCAAAGTGGGCCTTTGAATTAAGGAACCCAGGGCTGTATGACCGACAAATGCAAAGGTTTTGGGTTTCATTGGTTCGGCGGGCATAAGAGCTACAATTCCCAATCAGCAGAGCTGGGCCTTGTTTCACACTGGACCAGGACTCTCAGCTAAAGATCCGCGATGCCAATGGATATCTAGATTCGTACAAGTCGAAGGGCAGGCGATGGGTGCAGATTTCCTGAACTACAAAAATCCCTGTCTGACATGTCCGAACCAACTGAACACAGAGCCACGGTTTGGGCATTGGCCGACCCTGGCTTTGTGGCATTGCATTCACATCTTCCTCTCGTCCGCATATCCCGCTTCCGGGGGTTTGACAGAGGAGGCAAGGTATCTAACATGAAACAACACATTTTCCAGATGTATCCCAAGCACTTGGGTGCGAACTGCCCCCATGATATTGCCACTCCAAAAGTCACGCCTGAAGTGTAGCTTTGAATCTGAAGCAACCCCGTTCCTGACTTTGACAATCTCAAGCATCTTTCCTCAGCCTCATGCACCAGCACAATGCTCCAGCCGGCCCTATCGCACCAAACAACAACATCAAACAATCGATACAATTGCCTCAATTGCCTGAATCTCGTGCGTGAATGACCATGTCTACTTACCAGTATAAAGGCAAGCAAAATCGCTGCCCCCCTTTTGGCTGGTTGACTTTTCGGAGGGAAACCCACACCACAGAAAAGGGCTCACCGATGGGTGCTGGCCCGAGTTGCGCGGGCTGGAACGGCTCCCCCAGCTTCGCCATGGCGATGGAGACTTCCGCTTCTCTCGCGGCCAAAGCTGAGGCGAGAGGCGCGGCGTCAGGAGTCCGCAGATCGGAACCGGGGTTTGGACTCAGAATCCGGTCCGCCTTTGATGCCGGACTTCCGCAAATCCAAGGATCCCCACGCTCACAGGCCCATGGGTTGAGTGCCCGAAAGACGGTTTTCGCCGGCAGCGCGAAGGCCTATGCCAACATAGAATGTCCTTCAAATATGATCGGCAGAAGCTCCCCGAGCGCAATTCGGCGAGGCCCAGCCCCACATATTCAAAGCGACACGAGAGAACGAACTGTGTGAATAGCTCCACGTTTCAGGCCTTGTTTTGATATGTTCCGCAATGGACATGAACTGAAGCCGTTACAACTCGCTACACTGAACATCTCCGAAAAGATGGGTTTTCAGGCGACGCAAAAACAGGCAAAGAATGCGGGTCTGGACGGGAACGGGAACGCTAGTGCCAAACATCCTCCAAGTAGGGAAGCACCATGGACGTCAAGAAAAGATCACGGTAAGGGCTCCTCTTGACACATTCCGAATGCTTGCGGATGCTGCATCAAAGCGGGACTTGCAAAATCGCAGCTGTGTTTTGCAGAGGATGTCGTCGTTGTATCATTTGTGAGTTGCCGCTGCCAAGTTTCCACAAATGGTTGGTTTTCCTCATGCCTGATTGTTTTGAGTTCTCCAGGAAAGCCAACCAGAACCGATGCCCCTCGCAGCTGACAGCGGAATGTATTGGCTCCATAAACACATGACTTTCCTTTCATCTACAAGCAAATATTGGTACAACGCGCGCCTCCCTACCATACGGGAACAAGAGCACCACGGAAAACTGAGGCGACAGTGACACCCCCTTCTCCCTGCCTCGCTGCAGCCTGGCGAAAGGTAGTCTGGCCATCCGGGCGTCGTCGTTCACTTGCTGGGTGACGCGGTGTTTGGTTGACGAGAAGCACAAGGGAAAGGCGGAAATCGGCTAGAATCCTCATCCAAGGAAAAGATAATGTCTTATTTGGGGACACGGGGGCTACAAATGTGGCCAGTCCACGTTTGGCAAGTGGCCATGAGCACCATGTCATTTCAAGAGGACCTCCGGATCTCGACATCTCAACCGGAGGTCAATATTATGTTTTTTAGAATGTGGGCCATGGATCCTCGCCAGGTACCTTCTATGGACTCCGATCAACAAATGAACATCTTCACCTTGGACTGTCCGCGAAGAAGTGCAGATACCAAAAAGCTCTTGGCCGAACCTGGGCCGCTGCTGGGAGTTTAACTTTTGGTGGGTTGAATAGAAACCCAACCACTAAACCCTCAAGATCTAACAATTTAAGGAACCGGACGGCTGCGAGCCACCAAGGATTTGAAGGGAAAAACTGGATCGACTCCCCGCCTTCGCCTTTGGCCGGCCTCGGAAACGACGCTCGCCCCCGGTTTAGGGTGCTCGCGCGATGTCTGCAACAAACAACGCGTGGCACCCCAAGCACAAAGCAAGTAGCGAAAGAGCAAAGCACCGCTATAATGCATCACACATTCCGCTCTGAAGCCGTAGGCAAAGGCTATCAAAGGCTGAGAGCCAGAACGAGAGACCAACGCAAATGAGCAGCTTACTCTGCAAGGACAAAGCATGGCAAAGCTGTGCCAGCAGGCTGAGGCAGCTTTGCATACTGAAACGGAAATCTGAGTCATGCCAAGCGCCGCACCACAGCTGTCAAACAGCCAAGGTGGGCGATCGCGCTGACTTTGGCAACTGTCGGTAGGTTCACTGGGGCTGACGGGGCTCGCCAGGGTATCATGAACATGACTTCCTGGCTTCCTTATCAATGTGTGGGCGAAAGTGTGTGGACCCCCCAAAAGTGAGGAAACCATTTTTGAAAGAGGATCCAAATGCATTTCCAAGTTAAAGGTGTGTGCTTCCGCGTTTTCCTAATCGGCACCCACAAGCTCAGAAATGGAATGAAACATTCACCACCTCACCCCGCCACCCAATTCAGACCTCTGAAATCAACCCCCCAACCGAAAACGCTCCCGGCCTACCGGGTAGGCGCCCCCCAGCTTGCCGCCTGCATTGGCATTCAGCCCCTCAACGCCTCATCAAGGCATTGTTGTAAAAAAAGAGCACAACCATTGACCTTTGTTAGGCGCGAGCGCCAGCCCTCTGAGTGGAGAAAATCATTGGTAAGTATCTTTCGCTCGCTCTCCCAAGACATAGGCTCGTTTCTGAATTGCCAGTAACGAGGGCTCTGAACATCCACGTCCTATTGCAATCGGCAGATCGTCATAGCTTCTGGCTAGTTGCATTTCCAGGCACCTTGTGATGCGGGATTTGTGGGCTGCCCTACAAGGAAACCACAACTTTCAGGATGCATATTTATATTCAGAGCTTTGGATTGATGTTCACTTCTTGAGTGCATACGCAACGCGTTCAGAAAATCGCAACGGCCAGAAATCGTCGGAGGTGAGCTAAAGTCGCCCAACGAGAGCTGCCGGGCCTGGGGACTTCACGGGGCTCGCGCTCGCCAGGTGCGTGGGAAACAGCCGCGACCTCGGCTCGGCGCGTTGGCCCATGCGGCGGGCAAACCCAACGAGCGCGACATCGCGCGGATCGGACCGAGGATTGAGCGGCATCCCTGAGTGTTCTCCCGGAGTGCCCCAGCGAGTTCACAGATCACCTCTGTTTTGGGTAGTCGCCACCCCAAGCTCAAGGGCGTTGACTCGGCACCACAAAGAAACTGGGCGGACTTTCCTACGTCAGTGGCTTCTTCTGATGCCCAGGAATGACTTGACACATACACAAACAAACAGACAAACAAACAAACAAAAAAGGATGGGTTACTGGCACATTCCCCATCGCCAGGCTGCCGTGCCCGCCCCGCTCAGCAGTTCGCGGGGAGAGGCCGTCAAGCCTGGGGCCAGCTTCAAACGCCGTGGATGTGATCGCCTGAATGCGATCCAAAGAGAAGCCAGGTGAGTCCGTCAAATCTGAGGACAACCAGTTGAAAGGTTGACTAGGTTTAACACACACAGGCGGTCAGAAAACCGCAAGTGTAAACTTCGAGTGGACTGCCCTCCAAGGGTTCTTGCCCTGAAAGCTCAGGCAAACACGACGTGAAACATGCCAGACTTCTCTCCCATAAATAGCCAACGGTTCGAGGGATCTGGGTCCCTCCTTTCCGCCTTCAAACATCAGCCCGGTCAACGTACATAGTGCCCAAGATGATGTTGTGTGAAGCACCTGGAAGGGAACTATATGATATATGGGGTCTGCTGGGACAGGGGAGATGAAACCGACCATCGGCATCTCAGGATGGCAATTTATCCCTTCCAAACCCCAAGCTGCCCATTTGCATCTTCAACCCACTTCTCTCACTATTGAAGCGTACCAGGGTTTCACCGGAGCTCAACGCCTGTTCTGCGAATTGACCCAGCAACAGACACACCAATAGCAACTGCAACTGCTACGCGATTCCGCAGTGCTAGAAGACACCACCCGGCTCACTGGGACACCTACACCATCGGAGCACCACCGTCACAGCGCCACCAGGAAACCCACAGACACTTACCAGCTCTTAGAGAATTGGACGCATGGCGGGACGCCATTGGCCGTTTCAGCTCATTACAACATTGTTGTCATTGTGACCTACTTTAAAGGCGATGACCCCCTGGTTGATGAACCGGTAAATTCATGCACCGGGCTAGTAGAAAAAATAGAAACTCCCACTGAGCCCGGGATCCAAAAGCAAATGTCAACCTAAGCAAAGATCCATCAGCGAGAATCGGCCCAATAAGAGCAGCGCCACGGGCTATCCCGCACCCGCGGAGACAGCGGCCGCGTACCTCGAGAAAAAGCGCAAAGCGCGGGCACAAACAAAAAGTTTTGGCCGGGCCCCTCGTTCAAAACATCGGGCCCTCTACGGCTCCAATTAGCGCCACAGGTTAAATGGTGACCCAATGAAAACCCCTGACCCCTTAAAGGCGGCACAAAATGACACCGCAGCTCAGACATGAAAAGGGAGCTATTTTGACATGCGTTCCATCGAAACAACTTGTGAGGGTCATGGCCAAGGTTGATGGTAGTTGTCCAGAATCACGGTCCAAAACCCTCGTGATTTTGACGACGCTTTGGGTGACTCAGCGGGCGGTGGGCAGCATTTTGGACCCATATGTCGCATAGCAGCAACTCAGGGTCCATAAAAGGAACCGAAACGCGGACGTCAGGGGTTCGAACCCCTGGATTTCGGGGAGCTTTCTGAGACTCCCTGGAAGGGGAGAAGCATTTGATGAGAATCTGTTCGAGTGAACTGGCTGGGATCTCTTGAGATGGTCCCTACATGCCAGCAGATTTGCTCCTGGTTCTATCATTGCACCTGTTGAATAGTTGGCACATCCAGATGTCTGCAGCCCAAAGCACGGATATGAATTTCTTGAACGAGCAAGGCATGCGTTAACTCTTCGGCATCGCATGCAGCATGTCGGAAGGGAAAAGGCCGCCACACTGGTGTATCGGCTCGAGCCAAACCAACAAGATCCGATACCGATTTTACATCAACCTCTATATACCAAAGGCACATGCTGGAAAACTGGGCTTTTCAGAGTGAGAGATGGGCAGTTCTTCGACCCAATTGAATGATTTTTTACAAACCCGATGATTTTCGAAGCCACGCATGCTGCGCAAAGACTCTTCCGCCTTTTCCGCACAACGGCGGAAGACCTTCTGATTTCCCTCAAAGGCTTGCTCGCAAGGCCGGGCCCATCCACTGAGGGCGCAGTGGCGCGCTGAAGCTGCGACCCCTCCTGGTTTTCGAGTACTTCTGAGGGATGCTTGAGGCAGTAGGCGCGCGTTTCGCAACCCAGAGCCGGACAATTGAGCGGATATGGCATCGTATAAGAGGCAGGCCAAAAGCAAGGTTTTGCTTTACGAGTGCGTGCGAGCCAGGCAGGCAGGCAAATTCGCCAGAGAAAAGGGAGAGAAGCCGGCAACAGAGGCTACGCCAGGAGGCGCTGCGATAGATGGGCGGTAGATAGATGCGAGCTGTATTTGTTTGCGTCTTGCGCCGCGTATATGCTTTCATCCGCACGGCGCTGAGCCTGCGGAAAAGTGCGTGTAGAAGGCCCATGGACCATGGCAGCCCCTTGATGGCTTTGCGCCTGACGCGCGGGGATACAGGCAAGAGAGACGCACATGCGCTGCGATGCTTTCTGTTGGACTTTGCGGCCTGTCGTTAAAACTTTATCTTAAGGCGAGGGCCTTTGTCTTGGGAGACAATTGGAGTCCAAAGCAAGACTCCAATGAACAATGCTTTGAGCACGTGGGAGGGCTGCCTGCAAAGGCACTCCTTCGTCTTGGCCTTAGAAGAGTACAACTGCCCAGTGTTTGCCAAGCGTATGCAAGCGGTGAAGAAGAAGACGGCGAATGGAAACAATTCCTGGTGGTGGATGCCATACATTGCAGCCATGGGTGAGCCGGCGCTGGATGCTGTGCTACAGGGTAGAAATGGGGCTGACCGCTTGGCAGACATCGTCCGGGAGCTACGAACAAATGGGAGGCCTTTCTGGTCCACCAGATTTGTATATGGGAAAAGCGTCGAGAATCAAGTTGCCCTCGAGACATCCGACGGGCGTCTGCATCAATTTGCCCGGACCATACCAGTCAGGAACAAGACAAAGCTAGAAATCTGCAAGCAGTTTGAGCAACTGCGTGGGATCGGAAAATTATATTCCCAACATGGGCTAATCATGATGTTGGGAGGAGGCTATGCTTGCAATTTGAACAGGATGGGAGTGCGGGAAGTGCAAAGAAGTGCGATTGTGGGAAACGGCGCATTGCGTGTCCTTGGCTTGCTGAGGTCCGAGGCAGACTATCCGCCAGATGTTCGCTGGTCTGCTGCGAATGCTGAGTGGATCACTGGAGCGCTCCTTCGGGAGCGTGATGCTTTTGCCCGCTTGGCCGAAGCGAGATTTCATCAATGGCCAGACCTCATCCCATCGCCCCTACGAAGAAAGAAACCGGGCGGCGCTTGGAGGTACACATTCATTCCTGAAGTCTTCGGTGACTTTCTTTGCGAGTGCTCGCAGCTATTGAACGCATTGGTCACCCAGGGCGTAGCAAAGCATCGTGACAAGCCATGGGAGTCTTTCCGGGATTGGCCTTCAGATGTGGGGCGGAGCAAAAGCTGCAAGCGCGCGGCAGGCAAGGATTCGCTTGAGAGGAAGGCGCTGAGGAAGCGCAAGTAGCGCCAAGCTGGCCCTTCGGCTTTGCTCGCGGTCCTTCTGTGGACGCATGACCTTCACGGCCCATTTTGCTATGTCTTGATGGCGCAGATGGAGCCTGTGACCGCTACCTTACTGCTCGGCCCAAGATTGGCGCACTCAGCTAGCGCCTGAGGTGTAAATAGGTGGTCGCGAGTGCTGTGTGAGCGTGTAAGCGTGTGAGCGTGTGTGCGTGCCTGCCTGCGCGCGTGCGTGCGTGTGCGCGTGCGTGCGTGCTGGGAAGGCCTTTGCCAGCCCTGGGTGGGGTAGGGGGCAATCGAACCCCCCTCGGTCTTCGGAACCATTGCAACTTGAAGTTAGTCTTCGGGCAGGAAACCGTCGCAAAACCACCGACCGGTACCAGGAAAGTCACAAACGGACCCCCCTAGGAAGGGGAAGGGGAATGTGTCGTAGAGTGTCCAACACGCCGTCTTGTAGTCGGCGGATAAAGAAATATAGACATAAGGGGAGAAGAGGTTCAGATAGAAAAGAATATCAGCATAGATTTAGTTCGTTAAATCCAAATGCAGATCAAAATACAACAGAGAAGTACACATATTAGACCAATGATATACGCGTAAATTTAAAATAGATATTGACATAAATTCAAGCCCAAAAATAGAAATGCAAATATGAGTACACATATAAACAATCAGTACATACATATATATATATATATATAGATACTATAAACTTAAATGCGCACATATTAATGTACATTTAAATGAAACAACAAATAAAATTAACTGTGCATATATATTTGTATTGGCAATTACTTTATGTAAATGTGATGTTTGATTTCTGCGGTTTCATTTCCGTACTAGTAAGTTGCCGCTTTGAACAATTTTCGGGCCCGGCTAGGGGGGAGGCCATTCGGACGAGGACCAACACGGAAACCCCTGAGACTCAGAGGGTCGTGGCGGTCAAGGGTTTCATTGTAATTTTCAATAGTTTTTTCGTTTTGCGTGATGTTGTTTTGTCATTTAGTTGATCGAAATCCATTGGGGAGAATACTTGCTTCTCGCGCAAAGTCATTTCAAGGGTTCCTCCCCAGAGCAAAAGGAGCACCGGTCAGCCGATGGCTTTTCACCACGGCCCTTGAGACGGCTGCAAATGATTAGGATTCCATAGGAAGGATTGGGCCCGTCTTTTAGACATGTTGACTATTTGCCGTTTCAGTCCCTGAGAACGTTCCACAGCCGGTTGTCTAAACCAGCGTACGGTGTGCAAAAACTCTGAAAGCAACCCGGGAAACTGATATTATGTTTACACAAAATTTTGTCCACGGACGTGCGTGACCGTCTCTTGAAGGTGTCGGCAGTACTTGGACCCCCGGTTTCACCCCGGCTTGGCCAACTCAACTACAGCTGACTTCTAGTATCCATTCAGGGCGAAAAGGCCCCCCTCAAGGCAACATGCATTTTGTACACCAGTCTGACTGTCTATTGAGCCTCTTTGGGTGAAGGTCACTGTGCGGCAAATGGACAAACTGAGGAGTAGTCGGTAAACATGGAAACCGTTTGTGTAAAATGCTGAAATGCTCTCCCTTTAAACCGCCTAGCCCAAGTGTCCGAATCCGCAAGAGCCAGCGGACGATGCGTGGAACGCTGCAGCCGGAGCTATGGGGCACTGCCATCTCGCCCGACGCCACCAACATGAAGGACGTCCACCTGGAAAGAGTGAAGTCAACTGGATCTGCGCAACCAAACAAAGCCTCAAACCCTCCAAAAGGCCTCCAAAAAAGTCTGCAAGTTTGGGACAACCCACCTACCCCGACCCCACCCCAGCAAAACCAAAATAGAAAAGCGCGCGCGTGCGCGCGCCTCCGCCTCGTCCTCCGCCCGCGCAGCCGCGGCCATCGCCATGGCGGCCAGGCGCTGCGCCTGCCGAAAACGCACCGCTAAAGGACCCGAGTGAGTTCAGCGGAACGCATCGATGTTCCACCAGGTCCTCCAGTAGAGAGGTTAGAAGAAGTTGGTACCAACTTGTTTTTCTGTAGTCTATTGTAGTAGGGGAACCCTCCCCCAAAAAAAGGGTAATGCGGGACCTAGCTGACCTCAAAGGACACCTAGGATTGGAAACCATGATGCCATACATTACGTGCCCCTCTCGGGTTTTCCTGTCAAACATCCCCACGAAGGGTGCCAACAAAAGAAGACAGCCCTCATACCACAACTAATAAACACAGGCGCATATTTGTACAAAAAGGCGAACACATATTTTGTCCTTAGTTCCAGTTTTTGGAACCACCGGGTTGGAAACTGGCCAACAATACAGCAATACACTATCATGAAAGCACAACAACAAAGTTTCACACATGTCAAAACAAAGCTCTGGCGAAAGGATAATCGGAGAATCTCCAGCCTGGAGCCTTTTGCGGGCAGGGTGTCTCTTGTTTGTGGCGCCAACTTGGTCCTAGCTGGCTAGATCAACCTGCTGGGCCTCTCAGTTCAAGGTTCGAGACGCAAGAACAGCAAACTGTCAATGTTCAACCGAAGCAACATGCTTTCCAATTCTCGAAGGTAGCGGGATGGTTTGGACATCATGTTCATACAAATCATCTACGCCCACGGCAAAAGTAAACATCGGGCGGGATCGCCATGCAAATGCGCAATGCAAACCATCATGCTCTGCCTCTGCCCCTACGGCACCAGCCTTGCACATGGGGGGCGACACAAGTATGTTGCCAAAGACTCATCGCTTTTCACTTTTTGTTGGCCTGTGCAATGACGCATGGATGCGACTTAGTGACTTCCCCATACAAAGGACGGTCAGTTGGTGGCTTCCCACGCCAACTTCGACTCTCGGCCTCATCCTGGAAGTTCGCCGGACTGCCGCCGCCTGCCGACTGCGCTCGCGGTCGGTAGGGTATCAGGTCTTTTGGCGTTGACGGATTTTAGTGGAACACCCACCAAAGGGACAACTTGTGCCACTGAACAGCCAGGTTACATGCATAAGAACCAACTCACCCGCTTGCGCTCGTTCTGCGCCTAGATCTTCCATCCTTCCCTGCCATGGCTGCTTTGCAGCCCAAACCTCAAAACACCGTACCCTCCAGTCCATTTACGTAGAACCTGACAGGGAAGTCCTGGTTGGACAAGTTTGCTTTACAACGGAACCTCTGGTGGGTTCCATGTTGGTGGACAGGAGGATCATAGGGACATGCTTTCTCAACCCTGGCATCATTTGTCATGGTTGGGCCGGCTTCAGCAATGTCCATTGACCTCAGGCTGTTTCAGGTGCCTCACAGCCCTCCACACAAATTCAGACCACCTCCCCCCTCCAGCTCCGAAGTCGAGTGCAACTCCTTCCCATGCAATTTCAATGTCGATCCAGCGCAAATCAGGTGCCCCTTCAAATGCCTGGTTTACTTTTGGTTTCATTGACAAAGGCGGGCCCCACCCCCGGCGAGCCTGTTCGCGGACTGGCCTCAGAAAGGCACAAAGGTACCCTTTTTGAAGGGAAATGAAAGACCCTGTAAGGTGCCCCACTTCAATACATTCAGGAAACCAACAAACAATCAGACGCTCGTTATTACCTTTCAGGACTTGGAGGGGGCGTCCCCTCCGTAACAAAGACAAGGAAGGCCCATAGCCTCACAGGCATCCCGCGAACCGCTCTCAGGCTCGGGCCTTGGGGGAGCCTCGGGAAGTCCTCAGAAACCCCACGGCGCGGTGCGAAAACCGTTCAAGCACGGTTTGGCACTTTTGCGGGGCTTCGACACGTCGCTTGCCTTCTTAGGGAGCGAACTGCTTCTAGCGGCAAACGACAGTCAGCGCTTGCAAGTCACTGAACCAGGAAATGAACGCAAGCCGCAACAGAGTCTACCGTCGTTCATGGGCCAGCAAGGCAGCAAGACTAGAATGAAGCCTGTTAAGACAGCATCTTGTCCAGGTAGTGGCAGCGTGTTTAGCATGGTGCTTGAATCCTGAAGCAGTCTATTGGGATATACTTTGCTACTCACACAATATGTTTGGACGGCGCTTGCAAATCTGCGTAGTTCAGCGGGCACAGGGTATCGAGATAGCATGTTCGCTGCATCATGTAATAACACCTGCGGCACATTCAACGCAACACGCTTCTCATCAGAGAAAGCTGGCTAGCTCATGCACGTACACACAAATACATACATGCACACACACACACACACACTTGTGAAATCCCCCCTCTCTCGGTCTTTGTCGAGTCTCATTTCTTCTGCGAGGGTCAGGATCAAGCCCAGTGGGCACACTCTAGGTTCGGATCATGCGAATTGTGATTCGTGGGCCACAGACTAGGCCCAAGGATGGCTGTGGCCTACTCCACATATTTGGAAAAGAAAACGGAGACTCCGGACAGCCGGCACTACCTTGACAATTCGCAAACACTTCCAGCTTGCGAGTCTGACAAAGAACTCAGATCAGCCCTTGGCAACAGGGATGGACACACACACACACACACACACACACGGAGCTTGCGCAAAAGCATCACACGTGAGCTTGAAGTTGTCCTCAAAATAGTGGTCCTCTGAAATGGTTGGTTTGCTCTTGGCAACAAACTTAACCACAAGGTGGCCACTATGTTGAGAAGCGCTCATATGGCTGTGGCTCAAAAAAGTGGTACCAAAATGGCACCTTGGTAAATGGAACCAACGACTAAAACACGCGCAACCCAGCTCTTTAATTTTGAGCCATACCCATATCTATATTGCTCCAGCGCGACCGGTCCACCCGGACTCCACCCTTTGAAACCCCAACCCCAGGGCGCTGGCGGCACTTCGCTCCGCGGAAACTGCGGTGGATTCTCCCCGCGCTGGTGTGGCCTCCGATGCTGGTGATTGCTTTGGAGTCCGGGGCACTTGTTGGAATTGCTCTTTGGGGTTTAGGCGTTTTGGCCGGGCTTTGGAATCTGAACTTTCGGGGTTTCTTGTCTGGGGCCTTGAACTTTACAAAAAATTGGGGCTTTGGGGTCTTGCTTTTTTGGAGCTTTTACGGCAAAAATGTATACATTGTGGACCGCCCCTGTCAGAAAATGGTGTGCCCTTGACACAAAAACTATCATTGCTGCGTCCTTGCGTCACTGCCCTGAGCATCCTTTGGAAGGCGCCAGAAAGCTTATCCATCCTCGGGGATGCAGGATTTGCTGCAACCTCTCGCTCGGCCATATCCAACTTTCTTGTTGACGGCTGGCATTTATCCGGTTTCGGCTTGCCGCTCTGCCGCAGCACAGCAACACATGAATCATGGTCACCCAACAAAGTCCCGTGGTGATTCCTTGGGATATCACTGTTTCCCTCGCTGCCCCACGTAGCACTGGGTGCATGCCCCAGCAGTCAGGGCCGAAACCAGAATTGGCCGCGAAAGCTGGGAACGCTGACGCCGGCTTGAAGCTGAATCGTCACCATGCTGTTCCCAGTGATGTCGAGGGAATCGACCGAAACACGACTTCAGGTTCCCAAAAATGGCAGCTTGCATGTGCATCCACCCAGTGTGTCAAAACTAGGCAAGTGCTGCGTCCATGTTTGGAAGGAACCCAACACAAAGTCAAGCATTCGGAAAGGTGTCCGTTTTGGCCTGCCCTGACCTGCTGAGTCAAGATCGGGCAGCAACACTTCCTAGACTTTCCCTTTGCGCCAGCGTCCAAAAGATTTGCCCTGTCCACAGAACCCTGAGGGTCGATTTTAAGGGAACATGGCCTTGGACCCCAAGACGTCAAGTTCCATGACCAAAGCCAGCGAGCCGGGGCCCGCGCCAGGCAAGGGAGCCGCCTTGCGACCAATGGCTTGGGAAAGGAAAGAACCCAAACGGAAGGGAAAACCAAAAAACAGTTGAGAAGGGAAGCCTTTTTTGGTAAGGGATTGTGTTTTCTATTTGTTTGTTTAGTTTTTTTTTTGGGGGGGGCCTGCTTTTTTTGAGACAAGCTTGTGAAGCCCTTTTGGGGCTGGGAACAAAGGCAAAGGGTGCTCCTGAACGATTCCTTTACCCCAGACACTAATGTGCAAGCTTGGTCAAAGACCGTTCCTTGACAGGGCCAGTGCCCTGAGTGGCAAAGATTGCGCTTGTGTCAACAGTAAACCATCAATGCCAAGATTTGTCAGCTGGTGGCAAGCATACCCGCTCAAGACATGGTTGGGGTGCCCAACGCAGGAGTCCACAAACACATCTCAAGAAAGCAACACATGACAAGTCCACTTGAGCGCTCATGCACCCATCCTTTGACCCCCAGATGGTCAGACATTCCGTCCGTTGCCAGAGTTTAATCCATGACATTCAGCCAATTCCAGTGCTGACTTGTCGCAGCTTCCCCCCCCCCGCGCGGCCTTCACTGCCAGGGCTCCGGTCCCTGATAGCGCTCACGGGGAAGCCGGGAAGCCCAAGCCGCGTGGTGTGCAAAAACTGTTCTTGGGGTTTGAAACCAAAAGCAGAATGCAGACATTTGAGAGGGTCCCTAGTTTTGACACGCATCCTTTCGATGACCACCCAGCAACTGGCCCCTTCCATTTGATTCCTTCGCATTGTCCACGTTCTGGCTACCCTTGCACATGACTTGGATCCTGCCCCCCTCTTCCAGCGCATGATGGACGCAGACGGGGTAGAGGGGACACTCGAGCCTCTCCTGACATTAACAGAGGGAACAGCTTAAGGAAGAAGCCTTCTGTATACTTTTGGATTCCAGCATTCAACCGCAGGACCTTTCCACATTCGGCGCTGACTGGGCTTCAGGGTCGCAAAGAACCAGAAGGCATGTTTCGTCACATGCGTGAAGGAGCATGAAACCTGGTAGACCTCTTTGGCAGTCACGTGGCAGCCGTGGTTGCTGGCTGATTAGTGCTCTGGGGAAACTTAGCACCGCCTTTCGGAACGCCGCCAAGGACCCATGTTGTGGAATCCAGTGAAGTCAGCAACCCAAAAATCCAGGGCTCGCAGCCTCCCGGCCAAGATCTGGACCCCTGGCCTCATGACGCGCATGATCTCTCCGGCGCGCAGGCCGCGCAAGGGGCTGCTGGCCCTGCATCCGGGCGCGGCAAGTCACCGGTGACCAGTCCCCCTTGCCAGGAATGATCATGTAGTGACTTGGAGCCACAAGGGGAAAAAATGTCACGGCAATAGCGACAAGGTTTGACTGCTTGAAGGCCACCAAGGGTGGTTCAGGGTCAAATTCCGTCCCATGGCTAGCTGTGGTATTTGACATAAATAAAGGGCTGCACCTGAGCATTGAAGCTTCATGGGCCAGGCAGCCCTGCCCTCCAATTCACGGCAAAGCGGAGATCCATTTGTACATATCAGGAAATCCCATATTGAGGGAAATCCTGTGTCAACATATGTAGCTCATGAAGGGTGGAGGGGCTATCTGGAAGTGCAACTAGTGCAGTAGCATAAGAAGGGCTTTGGTTTGGGTTGCATGGAAGCTGAGCCCGACAAGAAAGCGGAAGCCTGTCCTGCTTCCCAAACTCCAACCCCGGCCATTCCCATGCCCACACAAGAATAAACTGAACCGACTCAAATTAGAGCCAGCCCACATAGATCAAAGGGCCTCGAATCCCTAGGACTGATTTTCTAAGACTTTGGATAGCTTGAGAGCGTTGCAATCATTGAAATGGTCGCGACATATCTGATGTACATTGCTTCTTTCCAGAACTCACAACGTTCTCTGGTCATTGGAGTACAACGACAGTGTCGCCCTCGTACAAACCCATGGCCCCGCCAGAATCCGGATATCCACACTTGCTGGAACTCAGCTGCCGCCTGGATACTGTGTCATTTCACTAGGCGAAAAAGGGTCGCGCACTCGCTGAAAGAATTTTTACAAGAGCAAGTGCACTGACAGCACATATATGGCTGTGGGTCAAAACCAATGGTACCATGTTGGGGTAGGTGCACCACCCATTTCAGTCTATTTTAGTGGGGATTGGGATGTTCACTGGGGGGTACGGGCTTTTGACCCATGGCCATATATATATATATACACATACACAGATGCACATACATGTATGTTTGTTTTGTGTGGTTGCGCGGTTTACTTGTATTTTGAGATTTGTAAAAATGCCGAGTTAGCGGAGTCTCCTTCCTTCAGCAAATCAAGTTGCGGGTTGAATTGACGGGGCTCTCCAGCCACTGTGATTCGCCCCCTTCTCCCTTGTGAGGGTGGAGGCTTAATTTGGTCAGAACTATTCAACACAGGGAGCAGTTGAGTTACCACTGGTTTCGGCCAGCAATACCAGTGGGAACAGGTGGATCCCTGGCACAATTCTGGTTGGGCTGTTCGCAAAGGACTGGGGGCCTTGCAATTTGTGCTCTGGTCCACGAAAGTATTTATGGAATTTCAAAAAATCGCATTGAAGCGCCAGGCCTGGTGCTTCCTGGCACTGGCGCCGCCTCACGACCGAGCGAGACGTCGATATGTGCAACGGGAGTTGTCCAAAAACGGGGCCCGAAACTAAAGGAACAAAACAAACATGCTTCCAGCAAAATGGGTCCCCTGAAATCTTTGGCGTCTTTTCAGTGTCCAACAAATTGGGACCCAAGGCATGCTTCCCATCACAGCCATGGTTCTCCAAACGAAGATCCCCTAAACTGGTTGGCTTCCTGGGAGCTTCCCTTTCAAATCCAAAGGGTCCCCAATGTTTCGAAACGGGCCACCTCGCTCTTTGCAAGACTTCCGCAGCAACACCTTCCATCAGGAATCCTGTTGAAACGATCGGCTGGGTATAGCCTGGATGAGTCATTTTACATGATGCAACAAAACTTTGCTGAACGGTTTCTTTACGTCTAGCGCGGCGAGGGTGGATCAGGCTTGGTGCTGCTCAGTGCATTTTCCTGAAGATTTAGTTGTTGGAGAGTGCGAGTGGTGCTGGTGATGCTTTTGGTGCGGATGGTGCTCGGTGCGGCCGGTGGTGCTGGTGATGCTGGCAGTGCTGGTGATGCTGGTTGGCGCTGGTGCTGGTGCTGGTGGTTCTGGTGGTGTTGGTGGTTGGGGTGCTGTGGGTGGTTTGGGTGGTTCTGGTGTTGCTGGTGGTGCTGGTGGTGCTGCTGGTGGTGGTGCTGGTGGTGCTGGTGATGCTGGTGATGCTGGTGGTGCTGGTGGTGCTGGTGGTGCCGGTGGTGCTGGTGGTGCTGGTGGTGCTGGTGGTGCTGGTGGTGCTGGTGGTGCTGGTGGTGCTGGTGGTGCTGGTGGTGCTGGTGGTGCTGGTGGTGCTGGTGGTGCTGATGGTGCTGGTGGTGCTGGTGGTGCTGGTGGTGCTGGTGGTGCTGGTGGTGCTGGTGGTGCTGGTGCTGGTGGTGCGGGTGGTGCTGGTGGTGTTGGTGGTGCTGGTGGTGCTGGTGGTGCTGGTGGTGCTGGTGATTCTGGCGGTGTGCATGGTGCTGGTGATGCTGGTGGTGCTGGTGGTGCTGGTGGTGCTGGTGGTGCTGGTGGTCTGGTGGTGCTGGTGGTGCTGGTGGTGCTGGTGGTGCTGGTGGTGCTGGTGGTGCTGGTGGTGCTGGTGGTGCTGGTGGTGCTGGTGATGCTGGTGGTGCTGGTGGTGCTGGTGGTGCTGGTGGTGGTGCTGGTGGTCTGGTGGTTGGGGTGTGGGTGGTTTGGGTGGTTCTGGTGGTGCTGGTGGTGCTGGTGGTGCTGGTGGTGCTGGTGGTGCTGGTGGTGCTGGTGGTGCTGGTGGTGCTGGTGGTGCTGGTGCTGGTGCTGCTGGCGGTGCTGGTGGCGCTGGTGGCGCTGGTGCTGGTGGTGCTGGTGGTGCTGGTGGTGCTGGTGGTGCTGGTGGTGCTGGTGGTGCTGGTGGTGCTAGTGGTGCTGGTGGTGCCGGTGGTGCTGGTGGTGCTGGTGGTCGTGCTGGTGGTGCTGGTGGTGGTGCTGGTGGTCGTGCTGGTGGTGCTGGTGGTCGTGCTGGTGGTGCTGGTGGTGCTGGTGCTGGTGGTGCCGGTGGTGCCGGTGGTGCTGGTGGTGCTGGTGGTGCTGGTGCTGCTGGTGGTGCTGGTGGTGCTGGTGGTGCTGGTGGTGCTGGTGGTGCTGGTGCTGGTGGTGCTGGTGGTGCTGGGGATGCTAAGAGTTATACCAACAAAACTGATGCTGAATGATGTTGATGATGCGAGTGATGCTGGTGATGTCGTTTGGTCAGAAGCTGAGACTGATAGAGGGAAATTCTGGCGATCACACTGCTGAATGATGCTGATGACGGACTTGAAATTGGTCAGCTTGATGCTGGTGATGCCAGTAAGGATGAAGCTGATACGGGATGAGGATGCTGTGATGAAAATGCAGTGCGGATGCTGGAAATGCTGCGGATGCTGAGGGTACATCATTCATCAAGCGGTGGGGTGACGAGACACTGGAAAAGGCTGCAAAACAAACAACAAACTTAGGAGGCTTATTTCCATCTCCCGCTGATTGACCACCAGAGCAGCTGGAAACATCTGAGCACCCGAGCCGAGCGGGGCGAGTAAGCGCCACAGGAAGTTTCAGACCTACAAAACGGCGCCGCTTCCACATGCACATGGTTCGAAGGACTCCTGAACGGGAAGCTAAGCAATTTCAGGTAGAACAGAATCGGCTGGTCGCATTCGCTTCGACCGGCTCACCCTGAAGGAATGGGCCTCGACATGGAGCTCACTGGTCCCAATTCTGTTCTCAAACCAGCCCAAGTGACTGGAAACACCTATCGAGTGACTGAAACTGACCTTGGCACGACCTGGTGCAGTTGGAGCTGCTCTCGATGCCTTATCCAGCGGATGTGTTTGGCGATGTCGGTGATCAGCCGAGTTTTTGACCGAGCCAAGTTTTGCAGTTCCAAACTTGCAACTTGTTGCCCACACACGCACACATGTGTGTAGAAGGTCATCGTTACCAACCAGCTCAATGCAAGACATGGTCCCGAATTCAACGAGCAAGGATCTTTTCTGTCCTTGCGGTCATCCAAGAAGTCATTCCCCCTGGTGAGGACCATTCCCCTTTGATGCAGTTTGCCTGCGGATCCCTTGACGGGTGCCAAGGTCTTTGAAGCCCTGTTAAGCATCACTTTTGTTGAGACGTGGAGAGCGCTTCATGCCAGGGTGATACACACAAACGGAAAATATTGGGGAACCGCTTGCCTTGGAGTGAAGCTCACGCAGTTCACGCCAGGCTTCTCAGGGCTGTTTAAAGGAAGAACGGGCTGGGTAACTGATGAGATACACACATCGGCTGCCCATTTCAGGGACGTACGAAATCCAGTTTCAAACGGTCCATGTCTCAGTCGCCTCCCCCCCCTTTCAGGGACTTCTGCAGGGTTGAGTGGCTTGCCTTGTGGCTCAAAGTTCTCAAGTGGCTTGGACAGCTCCTTGAGGCCCCCAGCACAGAGTGGGCGCTGAACTTGAAGGACCGGCCCTGGATTCGGCGCTTTGATCCGCCCGACCCCCCCGCCCCCAGGTCATCGGGGCTGCTGGTTTTTGGAAGTCGGGAAACGGAGTCAAAAAGCCACCGCCACTTTCTGGGCATGAAGCAAAGTGCAAGGAGTCACTATTTTCAGCGAAGACCAAGCAAAATCTACAAAAGGGGGCTTCTGATTGAGGGAGGACTGATTTCAGCCTAAATGGAGTTGGCCAGATAGTTCTTTCCATGGGCCCGCCAGGCCCCTTGAAGTAGGGCTTGATGCATCGGAGGTCGCCCAGTCCAGGTTGCTCTGCAAACCAAAGGAAACCGGCAAAATGGCTGTCCCCTTTAAAACAGGAAACCAAAAAGACAAGTTCCTCAAACAAAATACACCACTAGGTCCTCCAGTACAGAGGTTAGAATCAGGGTACCCTGTTTTTCTGTAGTCTATTTTAGTAGGGGAACCCTCCCTCCAAAAAAGGGGCACTACTGGGGGAAGACCCTCAAAAGGGGCCAAAACGCGCCTTCTCTGGGCTGGCACTCCGCAGCTGCAGCCTGAAGTCAGAAGGACTCCCAGGCTTCCTGTAAAGTGCAAAGTGAACTGAAACAAGGCGTGTTTGGCCAGAAACAAAGGCCGTCCCACTGACCATGAATCCATCCCACTATGAGTTCTGACTTGATTTCAACTCTTTTTGCTGATGTGCAAAACGTTGCTTGTGCGGGAGGCTAAACACTCCCCAATTGATAAGCGGAGCAACCCTGAACGCGGCTTGTAATGCTAGCATGGATGAAGGAAACAGACGTCATTCCTTTGCCCCATCCCAAAGTCCACGACCAAAAGTCATTGGCTTGTACATCAGGGACGGGCGGTGAGAGACGGAAAGAACGAGCTGGCTCAATTCGTAAATACCTCGATCTGCTGCCGCGGGAAGATTCGTAAGTTCCCATCCTTTTACCCGCCATATCCTCCAGAGTGAGCGAGGAGACAGGACTCTCGTGTCAACGAGGGGAGAGAGAGAGAGAGAGAGAGAGAGAGAGAGAGAGAGACAGAGAGAGAGAGAGAGAGAGAGAGAGAGAGAGAGACAGAGAGAGAGACAGAGAGAGAGAGAGAGACAGAGAGAGAGAGAGACAGAGAGAGAGAGAGAGAGAGGGTGTAATTCTGGATGTTCCCTTCTTTCCCGGACTCATCTTTTGCCCGCTGTCAATTGGTTTGTCCCTCAGCACCCAACCAAACGAAAAAACCAAGAGTTGGGTGGCGTTATTCTATATTTCTCACTGGCCATTCACACCTCAGGCCGGATTCATGTCATCCCCAAATAAAATAGACTTCGAACAAAGGGATGACATGGGAAGGACAAAGAAGAGAAAAAGAGACGTTGAATCCGCTCTTCTATATCTCTCACTTACGAAGGAGGCAGACAGAGCAGATCATCTCATCTCCACTACCCTGGAATGAACCATTCATTTGTGGCAAATGGGCTAGGCAAGATGCCCCACCTCACCAGCTCAGGAATCTGGAGATTGGAGGCTGGACCCTCACTGAGAGATGTCCCTCTTCATTGGAAGGGGATAGCAAAAATAGGCAGGGCCTGGCAATGGCGCGCGTCCATTTTGAGAATGCGACTCAAAACAACGAGAAAGCGAAGCGGACCATGCGATCGTTTGTATTTATTTGTGGGGGATCAGTCAGTGATTTAAGGCAAAGTGCTCGTGCACTAAAGGCACTTCCAAAATAACTGAGCAAGATGCCCTTTACAGCAAAAGCCATCCCCCCTTTGAAGAGCAATGCAAAGGATCCCAAACCACAATCAGCCCGTGCCTCGCATGAGCCCCATGCAGCCCTGCCTGCTCTTGTCCTGGTTCAAAGCCTCGGCATCCAGCTGGCAAATGGAGATCCGTGTCTTGGGCACCCAAGAGCGAAATATCAAAGTTGACCGTTGCGATGCCTGAACTATATATGCATGCAGGTACGTGTGTGTGTGTATACAAAAAAACAACATGGAGAAACGGCACTGCTGGTCAGATAGCCAACACTCCTTTGGACCAAAGCCAGAGTCAAGATGCCTTTCGGAGCGCGGCTTACCGCCCTGAGGCAGAGCACAGCGTACAGGGCCCACGCCATCTCTGCCCGCGCCATGCTACCGGAGGCCTTGCGCACGCGGCCAAAGGTGATCCTCCACAAAAACTGCTTTCATCCCATGGCTGCCTTGTGTGTACGTATGACTTCTTCATGTCAACATACGCTGTGTGGTGTGTGTTGCACAAGATGAACTGTTTGCTGCACGTGCCGAGCCTTGCATGCAGGAGGTAATGCTAGTTGGCAGTTGCCTGCAAGCGAACCATCGGGCCTACCTGCATCAAACTATGTACCAAAAACAAGCCAAGACGGTCTAACTCCGAGAAAGCCGTCGGCGGCCCCTTGGGCTCCCGGCGGAGTGCAAGGAGCTCACCCCCGCGCGGCTGGCCGTGAGCAAGTCCCCTGGCGGGCGGCTCGACCCAACGGGCCGAGCAGCACGAGGCAACCGCTCTGCTGGGTGGCAGGCAACTCGGGAGCTCAGCCCAAATGTTTCAAAGAGGGTTGATATGCTCGAGATTTGAAGGCTGAAAGTCATCGCGTGGCACATCTGAATCAGAAAGGCCTCCAAGACGCACAGCATCGTGCCAGGGTGTTTGCTCAATGGACAATTGTGCTCCCAAAGCTTCAATCACCCCTCTTGAAAATCTGGTTGAGAATCGCAGGAGCTCAGATTCTGGACGAGTCATCTTTCAAGACATCTGGGTGTCATTGCGACTCCAAGTGGACAAACAAAACACCCAGGTTGGGTACCGGACCCACTCCCATTGGTCGTCGCAGGGAGCCTCCTTCATCTGTGGGGAAGGCATGTCCATCGGCACAAGGCATAACCGCTGAGGGGCAAATCAGGTCAAACATCCGGCGCATCATCCACCGGTGCTACGCGGGCCCTCCTTTTGAACACCAAGAAGGCTACTCGATGGCTGTTCCTATCCCGCTTCAACACGTTAGTGTGTCAAATAGAATACTGTACCCAGAGGCACTGGAATGTCGTTCCTGTCCCCATTTACACATGCAGTTTCACATTGGCGCCAACTCCGCGTGGTAAGTTGGCACGGTTCATAGATCCCTTCCAGGGTCCTATTCTGGTTGCCCAAGAGGCCCAGCCTGCAAACCCCTGAGCCGCAAGCCAAGAAGTCTGGACACAAACTGATCAATCGGGGAGCCGTCAAAACAGAATGACCCTGTTGAGCATGTAAATGGGAAACAACATACAGCAAATCACTTGCAGTGTTTCAACGGATTTTCAGACAAGGCAAAAACACGATCGCACAAGAACCCAAATCCTGAGGCGAATGTGATCGTTCGATGGCGCCCCCCCCCTCTCCACAGCTCGGGGGCCCGTGCCGGCTCGCCATCCTGTTGACTCAAAGGCGGAAGCGGATAGAGGATGGGAGGTCCTTGATATGAGCCGCAGTCCAAATGTATTACCCAAAATGGACATGGGAAACTTGACGAGCCTAATCAACCAAACCTCCATCTCGGGTGGCTCCGAAGGTGAAACTATAGCCGCTCCGATAGAAACCACGATCTTTGCAGCGGGGAACTAGACATGGCTTAAATGTTGCCCCATCCGTACGTTTCTGATGGGCCTTTGCCTTCAAATTGCCTCACCCAAGTTGGTTTAGATGAACTGCCATCCTCAAATAGGCTCTTACCCTTTGCTATGTAGGATGAATGTCCTCCAGGGGGAGGTCCTCCAAGGAGACCCGTGAGAAAGCAGTTCCTTCACCATTCTTCTTTGGTGGTTGCCAAACCTGTTCACCCTGAACAGTATCACCTATTGGTGCAGTCGAAATCCCGTTCAGCGCCGATGCTGACGACACTGGCTCCTACACGGAATCATGGTTTGGACTTGTTTTCCAAGGGTACCATTTGGCAGGTGCCATGGGGTCTTCCTAGCCGTTGGCTCACACAAACACCTCCCTTTAAGGGGGGAGGGCCTTTGGGCACTATAAGGAGGGTCACTTGGTGCCTGTGATGCCCAACCCTTTCATAACCCTCGACCTGAGACCTATCCCCCGGCCCCCGCCTCCGGACGGCGCGCCTGCAGCACCTGCGAAGACGGTTCGTATCACTTCGCAAGAAGCTGGTTGCAACAGTAGCAACACAAGCAGTGCCTGAAATGAGTTTGTCTCAGAGGAATGTTCCGTTTGCCGGCTGGAATCCAGAGAGATGTCTGAGTCTGCCACTCCCTGCAAACACGTTGAAAGGAGAAAAATCACCAATCATTGAGCGCCGCAGCCCGCCAACAGCTGAGAACAGGCGGCAGACAGAGACATCTCTTCACTCACAATGGGTGGTTGGGGGGTCCCTCTACAAGAACCACGGGTTCGAATCCCCAAAATCACGGCTCGCATCCCACAATAACAAAGCTGGCCAGTCTCGCATCCCGTACATTTGCAGTGGATCATGCTGAAGTGGTCCACAACGAAAAGCTCAAACAGGGCGACTGGTGAACGATGGGCAATCGCCGCAGGCTCTAAGGGTAACTTGCACGTCACCGGGAGCCCGCTCTCATTCGCACTCTTCGAGTGATGCACATGGCAAATGAAGGACCCCACGGCTAGCCTGCGCCTTGTCCCGTCGTCCCAACTCCCAATCAAAGTGGATGGCCGCGCTAACGGAGAGTGACAATCTGTTTGCACTTCTCCGTTACGGGATCTGAAGAGGCGGTCATGTGGATTAGCTTCCCTGAGTCAACTTTCATCAACCTGGAGGCATCTAGGAAAACCCTTGCCTTCCCGATATCCCCCCTGGCACTCCCCCAGAAATCGTCAGAACCAACAACTCATGCGTTGCTTTCTTATGTTCAATTGGATGACCGGTCTGGGCACACAAACTTCGACCGCCCAGCCTATCATGTGCCAAGCTGAGCCTGGCGGATTCGTCATGCGTGTGGCCGAGAGACCTAGGTGAAAGAGTACCATAGGGCTGGATGTATCTGATCTATCTCTTCAACTCCTACAGCTACTGCCACCGCCGCGCTGCTGCTGCTGCCAGCCTGAATTTGCGTTACCCTAAATGAGTTCCACAACATGGAGTCTTATCGCACATGATGTACCCACATTGTTGCCATGTTATGCACAGCTGCAACCTGCTTGATGGAACCCAAGCGTGGTTGTCCAACCCATAAAATGCCCTAAGCAATCCTGCTGTTTCGCGTGGAAAACAAATCTTCAACGCCAGGTGCGGGTCTCAAAGTGCGCGCTCCAAAAGGGTCAACTCGCTGTGAGACGGTGGCTTTGAGGATGTTGCCGTTTCTCGCCATGTGACACTCTCATCAGACGCCGGCCTTTTATCGCCACATAGGCAAAGGCGAATACTGGTTCGTCCGGGGCCAACTACCTTCTGCCCTGCTGTTTTGGTGCAATGTCACACGGCCCGGGAGGAAGTGCTTGCAGTTTGAGCCAAGAAATTACATGATCTGCTGACCTCAGGAGGCATCTCATGTCCGAACACCGGAGGTGCGTCTCACTTTGGGGCCAAACTCAAGCCTCACATGTGCAAAGCGTGTGTTCCATATCTCGAGCCTCACGGCGGCAAGCGGTTTTTGCGGCTTTGCGGCAACAAAGATGTGGTCAATATATTCAAAGACCTCATTGACAGGCGAAAAATGGAACCTGATTGCTGTCGGACATTGCGAGGGTTGGCAAAATGGTGGTTCCTTTCTTCACCCATCCTGCCCCGTGAGCTTGGCACGCCACGTAAACACAGCCATGCGACCAGCGGTCATGTGGGGAAACCGGGATCCAATTTCAACAATCCCAATGCAGTGGGGCAACATGTGCACTATAAATACTGAAAGGTGATGGTCCCTCATAAAAAAGTAAAGTACAAAATTGCAGGTCTGGGGATTGCTAGCTGCATGTGTTTGGCCATTGGTCTCTTGAGCAAAGCCAAGCAGCCATCCACCCAGTTCAGCAGCCGACCATGCAGAACATGGACAAAAAGGGGTCAGCTGCAGCCAGCAAAGAATGAAGCGTGCTCAAATTGCTTGCACTGCAACACCTGGATTCACTGAGGGTCGGGGTACCCGAGCACACCGAACGGGCCCTCAATCATTCTCAAGTTCGATCCCCCATGCAGCCCCAGCCAGAAATCGCCAACTTTTTCCACCCAGCCAATGGAGACGCCGATGCGTGCAGCACAGCACCTCAGCAACAGCCCCCTCCTGCAGATGAGGATTTCGCCCCCAACGCCGGTCCAGACACAATATCAACAAAAGCAATGCATCCAGAGAAGCTACCTGCGTCTCAAAGTATTTAGACCTCTGTTGCTCGAAGAACCTCCTCCCCGGAATCTGCTTGTTTCAGCCCGTGCTCAACCTCACTTTCCAGCCGGTCCATACTCCAAACAGGTCGTGACGGAAGGGCACTGAATTTTCCAACGAAAGAGGTGTCACAATTACCATGTGTCGAAGGTAGGTAAATGCCTCCAAACGTTTGGTTTCGGTGGCTGTGGTTTGCAGTAATCAAACCCGGAGGGCTAGTTCGAGGCATTCCCCAAAAGGCCTCTTGTTCTGGAGCGCCAAGCTCCCCCGCCAACCGGAACAGCCAACAGCAGACTTGGCTGCCTGTTGGTGCAAGCAATTCTCCTAGACTAAATTGGTCTTGCCCAAAAAGTAGAAGGTCAGGGAGTGAGTTCATGACGAGGATACACACCTGGCAAAATGTCATTACAAGCGCGCCAGTTTCCAAGAAAACATCCTCGCCCCGTACAGCCGTTGAATGCGCTGTGGGAATGGCCTACACCAGGTTGTTCTATATTTCCCCTTAAAACATCACCTTAGCAGGGAAAGCCAACCTTAAATCGGCCACAAAGGTCATTGAGTGCTGCTTAAAAACACAAAAATGGACATATGGGTATGCGTCGAAATAGGACCCTGAAAAAAGCAGGCGGTTTTCTTAATTTCTCTGTAAAAAAACTGTCTCTCAAAAAAAAAAAAACAGCCCGAAAAGGGTTAAAAAACAGCCCGAAAAGGGTACCCTCAAAAAGTGACACCCAAAAAGGGACACCCGCGACGTCTTTCCTCCAGCCACAAGCACTGAGAGCCCACGCGTCGCCAAAAGCTTGACTCAAAGCGTGGAGTTAGCACCCTAGCCGCGCGCCAGAGTTGTTCGTCCAAAGATATTATATGCACAAACAAACAAGCAAACAAACAAACAAACAAACAAACAAACAAAAAAAAACAAACAAACAAACAAACAACCAAACAACCAAACAACCAAACAACCAAACAAAAGAATGAACAAGCAAGCAAGCAAGCAAGCAAGCAAGCAAGCAAGCAAGCAAGCAAGCAAGCAAGCAAGCAAGCGAGCCAGCAAGCAAGCAAGCAAGCACGCAGGCAAGCAGGCAGGCAGGCAGGCAGCAAGCAAGCAAGCAAGCAAAAAACAACCGCAAAACAAAAACGAAACAACCTTGCGGCAAAACAAAGCAAAACAAGGCAAAACTAAAACGGACAAAGTCAACAAAGCCAACCAAATCAACAAACAAACAACCAAACAAGCAAACAAGCAAGCAAACAAACAAGAAAAAACATGCAAAAAAATGCAAACGTGCAAACGCTCACTTGTTGATGTGTGCATGTATGCAAAGTATCGGCTTGTTCATTTATGTGGATACTTCTTGACATCATAGCCATTATCGTAATTCTATAGTCTTTATCCGGCCCTGAGCCAATATCAAAGGCAACGCGGATCTGTGCCTCCTCAGAGCCGGAAATCGGATTCACGATTTGAGCGGGGTCGATAAGTCCGCTGACCGTCATAAAGGTTTATGTGGGGACTTTGATAGAGTCCCAAGTCAAGTGGCAAGCTGACAATTGGCGTTGATCTGGGCACTGCTCATGTCCTGTTGGATCCATGTTTCCATGCAAATCACAAGGTCCCCAGTCCTTGCGCATGCCCCCTTTGGCCACTCTTCTGAACCAAGGGGGGTCGGCACCTTTTGTGCACGAAGCCATTGGATGCTACCTGGAAATGACTGTTTTTGTTGAATGCCACCCTGGGAACCCTCTCGAGCCGCACACTGGTGTGTCAGAGTGTGCTCCTTAAGCCCAAGAAAGTGGCCATTGGAAGCCAACCCTCTCAACTCTCAACCACCATCGGCTGAAACTTGAAGGATTCTGTGTCTGCCTTTTTTAAAGACGACTGTACAACCATACTCTTCAGAGTATCACTTTCTTCAGAAATGCACCAACGTCTCCATGGCACGGCTATTTTGGACATGGGATCGGAGCCATGGCCGACACTCTCCATGCGGTCCCAAACATCAACCTACAGTTGCTTTGTGCAACTACAAAGAGTGAAGACTAGTCAAACATCCGAGCAATCCCTTCAAGCATTGGCTAGTGGCCTACCCAAATATGTAAAACTCCCGAAACCAGAATCTTCATAACAACCTGAGCTTGTTTCGCCCAGGTTGTTCTCAGTGCAAATCCGACCATGGCCACTCAAGTATCTGTTTGGGTCAGGTGCTGGCGCGTGGGTTTTGGGGGCAGAATTTGCGCGCACCGCCCACCGCCCCGGCCTTTGAAGCCTCCTCATCCTCATCTGTCTCACTCGCGTCCCCTGAAGTGAAGACTCGGCCGGCTCGGCCGGCTTTGATTCCAAAGAGTCCATGGGGCACCCCTTGTCAAAACACGTTTAACCACTGTCTAAACAACCTCCTGTTGGTTCCCTGAGGGCACCAGGGTAGTCTTGTTTACACATGTCCGTCGCAAGCCAACCTCTTGGGTTAACATCTTCCTTTTGAATAGATCTTGCCACTAGAGCCCCCAGGGTAATGATGCCTCCGAAGCTTCAAGAGCCAAGGCTATCCAGTGCATGAAGCCTTGACAGCTATATATATATATATATATATACATTCGTGCAAGCGTGTCAACGAGAGAGCTTGCAAACAGTTGTTGCATACGCTGACCGAAAAAAACGGCTGCCACACAAGCTGCCGCAGCGCTGGCCAAACTGTGCATCCCGAGTCCTTCAAAGAGTAACAAACTCTTGTCCAGCTTTTCAGTCAGCGCCCAGGGGAGTATTCAAAGCTTGTGGCTTTCCTTCAGAATGAGCATCGGCACTCATTTGGAGCAACCTCAACGTCACTCCTTCGGCTCATGGTTACTCGCTGAAGCCTCACAAGGGTTCCCTGAATTCCTCTCGTCACTCTCAAGGTCAGCCCTCAAGTGATGAAAAAGAACTTCACTCCCAGAAATATGTCCAAGAGCGCAACATGTACTCACCTTTCATCAAGTCAGCAGGGGAATCACTTGCAGCACAGCGAAGAAACCGGGCCGACAGGCATCTTAAAGCCCCGATTCCGACCACCGCAGTCAGAGGGGTTTGCATGTTGGAAAGCCCCGTCGAAAAGCCCCAAGGACAGCAACACCTCGAAATGGTTCATGCACTCCATTGAAAGGAGCCTGTATTTGAGTTCAAAGGAAGCTGCAGAAACTGAACCGGGAGAAAATTCGGGATTCGCCCAGTCTTTCCCGCCTTGGGAATCCGGGCTCCCACTCTCGCCCTGCTCTTCTTCCTCATCTTTATCGTCCTCATCCTCTCCGTCGTTTGTTTCCTCATCCTCCGCCGCACCTGCCACTTGTTTGCAATCATGCGGGATCCCAGCGGGTCCAAGTGCCTTTCATCTCAAGCGTAGTCGAAGAGAGTGACATGTTGCCATGCGTCAAAAGCCCGTACCCCCAGTGAACATCCCAAGCCCCACTAAAATAGACTAAAATGGGTGGTGCACCTACCCCAAATGGTACCATTGGTTTTGACCCACAGCCACATGTTGCCAAACGCGGGAAGTATGAAGCGCTTGGACTTCCTTCTTCGTCCTACGTCTTAGGGTGGGTAGCTTAGAGCCTCTCGCCTCTCGCCTCTTGTTTGGTGGATGTCTGGTGATTCAGCACTGCAAAACACGTGGGCGCAGCATTGCTAAACGAAAATGGCTCCTTGGGCCGAACATCCCAGGCCAAACCTAGCATTCAGGAGGCTGCAGGACTTTCTACTGACCCCAGAGCGCTGCCTTACATGGCAACTGTGGTACGCGGCTTGCAGTGCACGACCCTTGTGGCGATTGTCCTGGGCAAAGCATTAACTTTCTGAGAACAGCCTGTCTCCAACGAAAAACCATGCATCCATTCAAACGAGGGTCACCGGAATTGAGGACACCCCACCACTCCCAGGCCCACATTCAGGAGACTCAGAGCTTGGGTTTGCCCAAGTGGATTGTCAAAATCAGGTCTCAAAAACCACTCGATCCACCCACCCTGCCCCGAGGCCTCCTGAACTTGCCGTGGCTATGGGCTGCAACTTTGGCACCGCGGAGACCTGGGCTATCCATGCCATGTCGCCAGCTTGGTCACTGGCGCTTTTCCCTGGTGTCCATCAAGAACACAAACAAACCACTTGGAGTCAAGGATGCGCCAAAGATCAGCCAGAGCCCTTTAGGGTTAAACATTCTTTGGCGAATGGCAAAACAGGAAACTAGCTGCCAAGCGGCCGGCACAAAGGGCCTTGGCTTCCTTTTCAGTACCCATTTTGCTGCCAGCCCCCGAAACTGGTCAGCCCATTTGGCCAACCTTCGCAGGGCGCCCCCACGTTCTTGAAGACTGCCAGCTCCTCCTGCACCATCTCCTGCAATGCCAAATGACATCCAAACAGATTGCACCTTGGGTAACATGAATCAGTCTCACCAAATGCAAAGCTTGAAGAACCCGGTTTTTGTTTGTTTAGACCGTCGATTGACATCTATCCATGGTTGGAAATCGCCGAACGGGAATGGGGTGAGACCCCAGTCCCATGAGATTGACATGGCAAAGCCGGCGAGCACTTTTTGTCGAGACCCGAGAACTCTGATCAACGCACAGTTTTCGGGGGCTGATAGGGTGTAATGCTTACACTGCTCGCATTGCATCCACTCCCTTTTTTCAGAACCCTCGCGCGAAGTTGACCCCTTCGAATCCGCGCGCGCAACTGGGGCCCAGCTGGAAGCGGCAAATTAGGCCGCTGGCAAGCGCATCTTAAACTACTCAAATCATTGGACAAGCTCAACTCATCATCAGCAGCAGCAGCATCATCAGCAGCAGCAGCATCATCCGCATCATCAGCATCATTGTCATTGTCACCTGGGATTATTGAAAAAGAAGCCATGGCCTGATCGATTCACCAGCTTTGCCCAAAGCTTTCCACTCTTACTCTCCAGGTAAACCCGAAGTGCCGAGGCTGAAACGACGGATGTTGGTGCTTGTGCACGTACGGCTTGCATCAGAGTCAAAAGTAGCAAACCCTCTTCGAATGGACCCTGAGGTTTTTCGTTCGGCAAACAGCCAAATATGATGCGCTCTGGGTCGACTCGCAAGTCCCAAAGAGAGGCGAATGGGGATGGTGCACGCATAACCCACACAGAGTTCGCGCATGCGAGCAAGGACGGTTCCCTCGTTGGTAAAGCTCGGCAAAGTCGTTTTCACGGTCTTTACTTTTGTTCACGGTTGCAACTTGTCCATGAACGAAAACAAACTGCTTTTTTCATAGCATGCCATGCCTGAACAGGTTCCAGCAGTCTGCGTTCGCAGTCCTGCTGTTCGGGGGCGTCACCCCCAAGTGATCTTGTATGTGCAGAAAGAATTCGCGGTTCTCTTCACAGGGCTGGTCTAGACTCTCCGTATCGTATCCGCATATTTAGCCGTAAATAACAACGTCTGAGCCCACAAAGACAGAGCTTGGTTCACGGCAGGCTCAGCGTCCAGTCCTTGGTGTCAGTGTTTTTGTCAGCGTCTTCGTCTCTTTCTGCTTCCTCCTCCTCGTCGAAATCGTCACCTTCCGCGATCGCGTCCTCTTCCGCATCTGCAGATCGGCACGGGACAAAGAGCCGAACAGGACTCTGCTGAACATTGGCTGGCCCCACTTTACCCTTCTCCAAATCAGCCTCAAACGGCAACAGGTTCGAAGCAAAAGCAAAATTAAAAATCAGTGCGCCCGGAAGGCCAAGACATCGAGCCCTTCCCCAGTTGGGAGTACGGCTCCTTTTTTAATGGCTTCCCCCAAGTCAAGCCCCTCACTTGACGACCACAAGGAACGCGGGTGGTCTAAAACCTCCGTTTCGATTTGGGCCCTGCGCACTTTGATGATTGCTTGATCCAAGGCGTGTGCTGCCAAAAGGGCTCCTTTTGAGTCGTGTGCAAACACTCACATTGCCAGCCAAATGGAGGTGCTTAAAGTGGTTCTAAAGGGAAATGTGGTCAGACCTCCGAACGAGCAGGCTTGTAGCACACAATGCTTTTGAGGAGTATATGCTACAAAAACTTCATCTGTTCCACTTGCTCGGTGGATCCCCCGATCTGCCAGTGCCCACATTCGAAGGCAAAACAGTTGTGCCTTAGAATGCAGAACCTCGTTGATGGTTTCAAGGGAATTCAAAGGCCATCAACGATGCATGTTGTAGAGTTCCCAATGTTGAGCGAAAACCCATCGTGAGGCATCCTGCCCAAGCAAGATGAAGGGTTGTTCTGGATCTTGATTCGGTGGCGGTTCGTGCTGTGCTGCTGGCCCCGGAAGACCAACCTGGGCCATCCCTCAACTCCCGGCCTGGAGGTGGCGCAGGCGCCTGGATGCGTCTGCCAAGGGGCTAGTGCCAACCGAAAACGCCTCTGATAGATTTCGGAAGAGGAAGAAGGGGATTCCTATTGACCCCTTGAGACGGAATCTCTAATGAAACCAAATAAATCACGAGGGCTTCCTACGCACCCACCGATTTCCAACGCTATGCCTGGTGTAAGGTCACAATTGGGATTGGCTACCCCACAACCGAAGCCCTTCTGGTGTTGCCCAAACAACACTGGAGAAGGAGTTGACACAATCCCGAGAGACGACAAGTATAACAATCAGCGCCGACAAGTGATCTGATATATTTTGTGTTTCAATACAAAGTGCTGCAGCAAATGCGGCTGTGTGGGTCACTCGAGTCATGAGCAAAACCTGGTCAAGGCCAGGGATCCCTACATTTCCCACCCAAACATTGCGCCGCTTCCGGGCGATTCCTTTTTGAATGACCATGAATTTGAATTGCATCCTCCATCCAACTGGATCCCTCAAGGGATGGACCTGAGCAAATGCCTGCGAACGACCCAGTTGCCCAGGCTCGTCGCTGTAAGGAACCGGCCAGTGTCACTTTTTCTATTTTGGTTGCCCCCATGGTGAAAGGCGTTCGTTGTGGCGCTCGGGACGCCCTAATCTGTTCACACCTTAGTTGAGACACAAATGAAATTATGGGAAGGCCCTGGCTCCAAAAGGTAAAGCCACCAGACGAAATATTTCGGGAACGCTGCTCCCCCAAACCGGCGAGCGGCGACCTTCGTCTCGTTGCCCGTGAGCACTGCCACCACTCGGTGCACCTGAACTGGAGCAGCCATGAGATGGTTCCTCCTGGTCTGATGGTCGCTTGTCAGGCTTGACCATGACCGCCAAGGAACTATCATGATCTTCGACAGGCAGTGCCATGGGGGTACAAACATTTAGTTGAAACAAGGAAGCCTTTCTACAGATCCGGGAGTCCATTTTGGTCACTAGATGGCTGAAAAGGCCACTGCGGAAATTGAGACGGGGCTGGATAGTCAAAAAGGGAGAAGGCAAGGTTCAACTCACTCTGTAGTGCACAATCAAGTTTACACATCCCGTGGTGCAGTGCGTGCCCCGATGAGGTTTGAACAGTTCCACTTCGAGTTCGAAGTCACGTTCATGCACAGGAGGGTGGGGGGGGGGATCAGTTCGAGTTTGACCTCGAGTTCAAGTTCGAGAACAGGGGATGGGGGCGCTCGAGCCTCACACGGGGGGGGGTCTGTTCGAGTTCGACTTCGAGTTCCAGTTCGAGCACAGGAGACGGGGTCAGTTCTCGCGCTCAAGCCTCGGGCAGGGGGGGGGGGTCAGTTCGAGTTCGAGTTCGACTTCGAGTTCCGGGCTCGCGCCTTGAGCCGGGGGGGGGGGGTCAGTTCGAGTTCCGGGTTCGATTCGAGTTCGAGTTCGAGTTCAGGTCGGGCTCGCGCTGGCGGGTCAGTTCGAGTTCGAGTTCGGCTTCGAGTTCGAAGTCAGGTTCAAGCAAGCACCGGGGGGGGGGGTCAGTTCAAGTTCGACTTCGAGTTCAAGTTCGAGAGTTCGAGGTCGGGCGTGTGCCGTGTGCCATGAATCTCGCGCTCATGAGTCATGGTCCCTGGCGTACCAACAAAGCACTGCGAACTGCCTGATGGCTATGCGATTCAGCAAGATGCAACTGTGTGGAGCTTTTTTTGTTTGCCTTCTCTTTGTCAGCACCAGCAAATAGGGGCCTACGTAGCCCTGCCATGCATCAAACCTGCGCTCATGCTGTTCGCCTCCTCTTAGTAGCACAGGCATCCTCCAAGCACTGCACAACTGCCTGATGGCCCTCCCCAACAACAGAATGCAATGGTGTGAAGCCCTTGTTGGTCACGTTCTCTTTGTCAGCACCGGCATCCAACAAGCACTGCACAACTGCCTGATGCCCCTCCCCAGCAGCAGAATGCAACGGTGTGAAGCCCATGTTGGTCACGTTCTCTTTGTCAGCACCGGCATCCAACAAGCACTGCACAACTGCCTGATGGCCCTCCCAAGCAGCAGAATGCAATGGTGTGAAGGCCATGTTGGTCACGTTCTCTTTGTCAGCACCGGCATCCAACAAGCACTGCACAACTGCCTGATGCCCCTCCCCAGCAGCAGAATGCAACGGTGTGGCGCCATCATTGTCTGCCTTGTCTTTGTCAGCACCGGCATCCAGCAAGCAATGCACAACTGCCTGATGGCCCTCCCCAGCAGCAGAATGCAATGGTGTGAAGCCCATGTTGGTCACGTTCTCTTTGTCAGCACCGGCATCCAACAAGCACTGCACAACTGCCTGATGGCCCTCCCCAGCAGCAAAATGCAACGGTGTGGCGCCATCATTGTCTGCCTTGTCTTTGTCAGCACCGGCATCCAGCAAGCAATGCACAACTGCCTGATGGCCCTCCTGTGCAGCAAGATGAAACGGTGTGGCGCCATCATTGTCTGTTTTCTCTTTGTCAGCACCAGCATCCAGCAAGCACTGCACAACTGCGTGATGACCCTCCCGCGCGGCAACATGCAAGGGTGTCAAGCCGTCGCAGTGTGTGGCCTTGTCTTTGTCAGCACCGGCATCCAACAAGCACTGCGCAACCGTTTGATGGCCTTGGTGTGAAGCAAAATGCAGCGGCGTGGCGCCCATATTGTCTACCTTGTCTTTGTCAGCACCTGCGTGTAGCAAGCAGTGCACAACTGCTTGATGGGCCTCCTGTGCAGCAAGATGCAATGGTGTGGCGCCCTCGTTGGTCGCCTTGTCTTTGTCAGCACCGGCGTCTAGCAAGCACTGCACAACTGCTTGGTGGCCGTGCCATGCAGCAATAATCAATGGTGTGACATCTGTATTGGTCGCCGTGTCTTTGTCAGCACCGGCATCCAGCAAGCACTGCACAACTTCCAAATGGCCATTTAGAGAAGCATTGAACAAAGGTGTCGCATGGCTGGTGCCAGCATTGGGATCATGAGGCTTCTCCAGCAACTCTAGCACATGTGGTGCGTTGCCTGTTGCAGCCGCTTGCAGCAAGTCGATGCCAGTTGCCAATCCGTCTGATTCACCAGTCGCTGCTTCAACATATTGCCGTTGAATTGCCGTCAGGCACCCAGCATTCTCCCACGGAGTCTCTGGCCCCAACATGCCTAGGTCGCCAGCCAGCGCTAGCTGCCTGAAGTTCGGCAAAAGCAATCCTTACTTGGCATGAGAAGATGGACAGCACCATGTGAATTGTTGCTATTTAATGACCTTCAATAAAGGAGCACAAACAAATGCAAAATCGGGTACCAATCGGCAAACGGGAATCTCTTGGCCAGGTGGCGTCGTAGCATGTTAAAAAAACAAACCCCACCTTCCTGTCCGCACAGCTCGTCCCGCCACAAAGAATACTCTGCCGTCGTCATTGCCTCCGTGCCATCTAGCAAGCGAACGCACGCCATGATTGAATTGGACACGCCTGCGCTCGAGCTCAATGCGCCTCATGTATTGCATAAGAATGCTTGCAGCAATTTGTTAACACCCTACGATAAACGGAAACAAGTAGATTCTTGCTTGGCCATTCCAAAAGGTGAAACATCTCAGCCACCCCTCTCAGCCACCCCATCCCAAGTAGGCGCAACTCAAGCTCCAGGCTTCGTAATCTACAATTATTCCTACTAATTCACGAAGCTCATCCCTGGGGTCTGCGGTGAATTTGGGGGCCGGCCCTTCGCGTGGTTGAAAGAAAGATGCGAGGGAGATCTCTTGCATTGACTTCCAAGTAACAGTACATATAATATACTACACATGTTTGACTTCTATTCGCCTCGGCCCCCAGGGCCGGGAAGCGGTCAGACCCCTTCAGAGCCTCTTCGGGATCTTCTAAACCCCATCCCCAACCCTTCCCCAATTCAGAAATTTGCATCTTCGCTTGGCCGACCATTCTGTAGCTCTCTACCTTGGAAACCAGCTCACGCATTTCGGCGCCAACTCACCCACTAAACGCAACCACAGCACAGTATATACCTCAAGAACTGAGCTCGAGCTCGCGCTCGAGTTTCGGGCAGGGGCTCGAGCCTCAGACACCCCGGGGGGGGTGAGGGGGGGGTCAGCTCAAATTTGACTTCGGCTTCGTGTTCGGGCAATTTGGGTTCGAAATCGGGTCGGGTTCAAGGCTCGGGCATCGGGGGGGGGGGGTGAGGCCCACTGCCCCAGGTGCCGGTGGATTGTCTTGTGGATAATCCTGTAAGCGGCCTGCTAAGGTTCTTTTGCTTCACGCGATCATGAACGATGCAATGATATACAAAAGGGGCCTTGAGCCAAGTGTTGCGGGAGATCAATTGGTCTGAGAACCAAACACAAAACAGACACAAATTTCTTTTGATCTCCAGCACTAAGTATGAAATACTATTGGCTTCATGGCCTTTGGCCGTAGCCTTGATGTATGCCGTAGCCATGCTGTATGCCGTGGCCATGTGTATTAAAAAATGCCGGATTCATTCTCTTTTCTGCTCGGATGAAATGTCTTGGCTTTCGAAATGGAAAACACTATGTACTGCTTCTTTTTGAGATACCTAGATGTATCAAAGGGTGATGTACAACGCTATGTACACGCGGGACGACTGTGAAACTATTGATCTCTCACTCATGGTATAGTCTTGTAGACGGCGAGGATCAATCATCTGAATTGAGTTCGTGGTGCTGAACGTATGAATCTTCCTGGTCAGTCGGATCGACGATACCATCGGCGGCTGCTGTCGGATTGACTGCCATAGTCTCCATAATCATTCCAGGTCGAGTTGCTATAGTCCTTCCACTGCTTCTGATGTCCCCACTGCTTGTTGTAGTCCTTGTACTCCTGCGGGGTCCAGGCTTGTTTCTTCTTGATGTACTCCTGGTATCTCTCAGAGCTTCGTTGCCTGGTTGCAGATTTGCTCCGGATGTAAACCATGAGAGGACTGTGAGAGTCGGAGTCCTGCGAGCCATTCATGAACATGTCATTGTTCACGTGCTTAAAGCGCTCTGCGGATGAGACCTGGTAATCGAATATGGCCTTGGTTGGGTGGTTCCGCATGAATTCCAGTTGTTCATCATCCATGCCGTTCATCTCGTCCTTCCGGAAAGCCTGCTGGATGTTCGTTTTGCCCCATCCAAATACGAAAGTCATCATCACATCTGGGAATGTTCGATCATATCCTGATCCACACTTCATGTACAGGTGATGACGGACAATGGATTTTAGGGTGCACGAAGTCTCCATTGCATACTCCATTCTGTCCACGAGTGGCAAATCTTTCGTTTCATTCCACAGTCTCTGATATGCTCTCATGAGGATGTTCACGAGACCGTTGGCCGGATTGAAGACGTGCTGGAGTTTGCTGTAGGTGTTCGCTGATTTGTTGGCGTCTCCGGTGATCGCATCGCATCGGTACAAAGTCACGAGCGGCATGATTTCATTTTGAAGATCTTCCCTTGCTGCTCCATGGCTAATTGAAGGATGGATGTGGAAAACTCCAATGGTAGCGAATGGGAGATCTGCCCTCGTTATGTGGCGGTCGTCATACTCGTGGAGTGACTTGTTGGATGATTTCGGGATCATGCCACGAAACTCATCACTCTGCTCGATATGCAGAACGACGATCTCCTTGTCTCGGCCATGTCCTTGGACAATGGTGCGTGTTGGCAATCTCGGTCCAATGTACTTCTTGGATTCAGTAAACATGGATGGTCCTGTGGTTGCCAAGCAATCCGAGGTCGGAATTTCGTATTCGGGATCAGTGCAACTTCCTTCAGTTCCGAAGAAACATCTGAACCTTCCGA